GGCTAGTAGGTTGGAGGCCATGGCTATTAACGTTGGAGGCCATGGCTAGTAGGTTGGAGGCCATGGCTATTAGGTTGGAGGCCATGGCTATTAAAGTTGGAGGCCATGGCTAGTAGGTTGGAGGCCTACTAATTAATTAGAATTCTAATTCTGATTAAAATTACATTTCTAATTAAATTCTAAGGCACTTGTTTCTAGTAGCGATGCAATTGTTCCTAGTAGCATTTCTTTTTGCACGTCGATCTCGGCCCCCAAGCAGCTTCGCACCTTTCGCCACATCGGTGACACGAGCAGCTTGGGCGGCCTGGGTGAGTCTGAAGGTCTGGGTGCATTCGCCATCGAGCCAAGGTGTTCGAGATCCGAACATCGAAGCAGTTGCCTTACTAGTAGTAACAAGAAGCTATTAGAAACAAGTGCCACGCTAGTAGTAACAGGTGCCTTACTAGTAGTAACAAGAAGCTACTAGCGTCCTACCCCCCCCCCCAAAGTCTTTTCTGTTCGTTGAAGCCGTTGACAACCGCCACACAGCACACATCTGGTTTTCTCGCATGACCTGACCTCGTACTTCGCGCCTGAGGTACTGCAGTCTCGTCGAATAGGCCTCCATCACCCAGCTCCTGGTAGGGGCGGTGAAGGGGTATGGGTGTGGGTAATAGGAAGATGCAAACCAATGGTAGACTGGTTTGTTTCCTTGTTCCAGGTCGAACTGGGAGGTCTCCATACACATCCACAGTCTCCTTGCCAGTTGAGTGATTGTGAATGCTGTTCCAGGGTTCGAGCGCCTCTAGGGTTTTGGGCAGGTAAATGGCTGGGTGGTTTTGAGCTACAAGGCCATTTAAGATCATCTCAATCATGCATTTGACACTCAGATTCAGATAAGTATCAACATCTAGTGACTCTAGTGCGACTTTGGAATCCTGGCCCCCTATTTGAACCAGGTCTGGCTCGCGTGCCAAGAAAGCTTGCAAACTCTTGTGGGCCGGAGAAGAAAACTGGGGTCTACATATTCCACCCAGTGTCCAATCACCAGTCGTTTGCTTGGTAAATGGCGATTCCGCGGTTTGGTGAAAAGCTGCAATGAACACTGAAACTTATCATTTCAATCTTCGGTATCAGCTCTCAAATCACCAAGAGTAGCTTGACACCAGCCAGGAGAGGGACAGGTCTTTCAGAACCATGACAACATAAACAAATCCAGCACCCACCCATCTTCTTGGACCAGCTCTCCCAGAAGATGTCCACCACAGCACCTCCAATATCCTCCAAGCGCCCTTCTCTGACTCCCGACCCAGAGATCAATGGGGAAAAAGGGCTAAGCGAACTTTCCCTAGTAGCGATGGCCTCCAACCGCCTAGCGGCGACTAGCGGGGTGTCCCCAATTTGCACCAGCTCGGTGATCCACTGATCTGAGGGTTTCCTCGTTTCTCCTCGGCGAGCGCGGCATCGATGATGTCCCGTAGAAGCGGTGAGGGCTCTGGCTTCGCCCCTGGCGGCTGTGAGAAGCAAAGAAACATGTGACTCTTTCAAAGAAGATGCGTTCGTGAGACCAAGGTCATCAAAGGTCCAAAAGAGGTGATTGGAGGTTTAAATATTTGCCTAGATATCCCTAGATACTGTCTGTATTGGTGTACCTTTACGCCTTGCCGCTAGTAGGTTGGAGGCCATCGCTAATAGAAACAAAGAAACAAGAAAAGGAAGAAAGGTCTAATATATCTTACTACGAACGGAGCGGTCGGACGCTACGAGTTCCGGGGCGAGTTCCCGGCCTTACGAACGGAGCGAGAAAGGACGCGAACCGAACGTTTGCTCATCTAGTTTACCTACAGTAGGTATAACAAGTACAGCCAAAGCCGTGCCTTCGGCCAGGACCGCATCGGTGGCCCCATATTGGGCGATTCGCTTCGCCAAGCGCCCGGCCAGTTCCGGCCTCAGGGTGAGATTCTCTCGCGTCAGCTCCCACCCTTTTTAAACTTTCATTAACTTTGTTTGTGTTTGTTTGTTTGTTTGTTTGTTTGTTATAGTCTGTTTGTTTATGTTTGTTTGGTTTTGTTTGTTATATATATATAAAGTATACTTTTTGTGCGCTAGTTCTTTACTACGTTCTTTGGCCTTAGGAGTGAAGACAAGAGTCTTCATGGCCATACGGGGATCTCAGGGTATCTCTGTACTACAGAGTGAACACGCAAGGTAGATTCGGAGTTTCCCTCCTTTCGTTTCCCTCCTTTCCTTTTTGGAAAGAAGGAAAGGATTTAGGAACAAACAAAACAGCTCTAAGTCTCAAAGTCCAAAAAGAAAGGACAGCCACAAAAGCCTCTACCTCATACCCAACCATCTACAAAAGCCACACAACTCAATAAACGAATCTCCTTGGAGATGGGGAACATGCCCAAACGCCACGAGCACGCGGCGACCGAGCACGCGGACCACGCGGACCACGCGGACGGGCATTGGTTTCCGGGTCAAAACCTGTCACCCCATTCAGGGGTATGGCTAGAACATCTTAACAAAAATTAGAGTAGAGAACCTACGAACGGAGCAATGTTCGCTACGAGTAAGGGGCTCCTGGCATCGCGACTCGAACGGAGCAAGGACGCTACGAGCGTAGCTCCTGGCCGTACTACTAGTAGCATTCTCACTACTAGGAGCAAGAAGCTACTAGGGGCTCCTGGCCTTACTTTGAATCTAGAGGTTTTGAATCTTTCGGATTTGGGACCACCGACTTCCTTACCTGGATCGAGTGTTCGAACCCACTCGGCACGAGTTCGCTGCCCCCACTGGTAGCGTGCCAGCAGTTCTCTCAGAGCGGCCTGGAAACAGGAGGCAGGGAGCATGGATAGAGACTTGGTTGGGGTGTACTATGGTGTACTCTTTTCTTTGGGGTGTACTATTGCAAAAGCTTCTGTTCTGCTGCTCTTCTCATAGTGAGTGTGTCTCGCTTTTGACGATGCAGAGTGTACCATCTCGATGAGATCTTCCGAGCCATCCCTGGGTGTTTTCGTGGCTTTTGGTGTTCTCAGCTGCATGCAGGTCCACGTTTGTGGCTCAAGCAACTCCGTTTGTGGCACATATACTGGACAGTCACTCGGCTGACAACCATGGTTCCCTCGTATCAGGGATGTTCATGCTTAGCTAAAACAGTTTGGCTAGCGATGGCCTCCAACCTCATAGCGATGGCCAGCAGAAATACGCTCTCAGTTGGTAGCATCGAAAGAGAACACATGGCCGCGCTTTGGGTTTTGGCAAAACTGCGCTGGACGATTCAGGTCGATCTTTGTCACACCGGTTTGCCAAATTCGAGCCGGCAAGCTTTTCGGATGGACTGATGTAGGTGGTCCCATTTCATGGGAATCAAAAAAGCTGAGGCTCAAGACGTACGTGCGACATGGGCAGGTACCACGGACAACTAACTAACAGACACATATTATTTTAACTATATAACGATATATATAATATATATATACACAATGATATTGTTCTTGAAGGGCTATTGCCCCAACAAACCGTTGGTGATGTAACATGGTGGAACAGGTTGTTGGCTTCGACATTTAGCGCGTAGCTTCACACCAGGGATGCTCACCTCAACAGGGAGCACGCCTTCAATGCTCATCCTCTCTTGTGCCCGTTTTGCTGAGTAAAACAATGGCCGCTGAAGCGGATTCAGCCCATTAAACTCATGGTGGTGGGAATCCAAGGGTGTGGGGCATGTGGTCTCTTTTTGAGCCAACGAACCACCGACACAGCAAGACCCCGATGTGAACAGGGCACACTTTCCACGGTAACCCAAGGATTGGCTCCATGCCTGTAAGCCTTCAATCGGACCCACTGACCCCCTTCAAGACCTCCGAGCCATGAGAGAGTCGCTTCCCTAAACATCGAACCGATTCGTAAGAAGCGCTCTCCTTGAAGAAGCGTGAGATATCCTGCGTCCTACCTGGAAGCTAACTTGGCCTAGTCGCATGTGTTTATTCCCGAATTACTGAAACATACTGAAACTACGTAGCGCGGGGCGCGGAGCGCCGGGCGCGCTCCGCCGGGCCAACCAAACCGCCGCCGTGGACTCCACGCCTCATTCCTGGCCATCCGATGTCCTCATCTCCATTGGTCCTCCGATGTCCGATGTCGACGGAGCCAGGTCCAGGTCGTTCCCACTGCGGATGGGCCTGCTGGGCCAAACCGCCCTGCAGGGTGGTGTCGAAACCACTCTGCAGTCGTTTTTGGCAGATGTGAGTCGTGGTTTGCTGCACGAATGTCTGTGCCCAAAGAGTGTGGGGAGGCCCTTCTAGTCACCCGAATCACTTGAACTCCCAGTTTGACCCGGGGAATGTGAATCCGAATGTTTTTCAACCCTCCACGCATGATTTCCATAGTTTTGCCCGCAACTTGCACGAGTTTTCCATCGAGTTGCCCGGAACTTAGAGGTGGTTCATCATGAGTGACATTGTTTGGGATTCTGCCAGATTCCAACCTTCAATTGACAACATCTCAATGAGCAGCAGAACTGCACCGATTGATCCATGATTTGAAAGGCTCTCATCTTCTTTCTTCCTAGTAAATCTCCGTTCGATCTTCACGGCTGGCCGTGAAACTCCCGGTCCTTGGAGGATCATGCCAGCCACTGGCTACTGCATCGAAACGAAGAAGCTCCAGCCGTTTCGGGCTTCGTCTGATCCGGTTTCGGCGCTCAGGATCCACTCTCTCGCTTGCTGTTCCTCGCTCTGAAAATAACTCATCCCCAAAAAACGGCCCCTGGCCATGTTTGTTTTGAAGATCAGTGAGTGACAAAGCCATGATCTAAATCTCAACCACATTTGGAGACCTAAGCGGTCGGTCTAACAGCTGCTTTCCTCCATGCATTCTGGCTAAAACAACTTTCACTTTAACTTTCTTTTCCTTGAGCAACCTGACGGCTGTTCAGAATGGCTGAAGGCGGGACACCTCTCATGGCGACTTCAGAACCTCACGTTCTTCCGACGGCGGTTTCACCTGATTTCCTCGGCTCGGCGGAGTCTCCGTTGGTTTTCGAACGCCACGGGGGTCGCCACCGGTACGGCCCTTCCGGGGGGGCACAGGCCATGCTGGACTCTGACCGGTGCGGAAGGACGGTCCATGCCGCATACAGTTATCCTACTGAACGGAACAAGCTATGAACGGGGGCTCCTGGCATCGCGACTCGAACGGAGCGATCGGACGCTACGAGTATAAGGGGCGAAGCTGGCCTTACTACGAACGTATCAAAGGGCATTGCTACTAGTAACGAGAAGCTACGAACGTAGCTCCTGGCAGTACTCGAGTTCCTAATCATGTTCCAACGTCGCCAGCTTGCCCAACTGATCTCTACCAGCACCCGACTTCACAGGTCACCACCGACTTTGTCTGCCAAAACCATGTCGGAGACCTGTTGATCGGGTCCTGGTATAGAAAGATACACACCACCCTAAGGATCATTGGACCCGACCACTTCTGGAGGGTTTGGACCCTGCTTTTCGCAGGGTGCCCTTGGACCCGAACCAAACCTTCACCGAACGGGTCGGGTCCTTGATCCTTAGGGCAGAAGGATCTCGGAATGCGCATCTCTTTCCAGCCGCAAGTCGGTCCGTCGGCTCGTCGCTCGCCTTTTGCACCTGCGTGGAAGGCGTCTGTCATGAAGGTGTCTGTGAGTGGAGGAGAGGAGTGGAGTGGGATGAAGAGGGACAGTCGCAGCTTCTACTTTGTGCTCTTGGCTTCTAGTAGCACCCTTGCTCCGTTCGTAGCGATGCCAGGAGCTACGCTCGTAGCGCCCCTGCTCCGTTCGAGTCGCGATGCCAGGAGCCCCGTACGTAGCGTTCTTGTTCCTAGGAGTCCAGGACTATTTTTACCATGGTCTGACAACCGGTGACCCAACAAGTGAAAAAAGAACTTCCTTCACTTTGGTCCCAAGAATAGTCGAACTGGACTTCTAGGGTTTAGTCAATCATAATGATATATTGGTTTTATCTGGTTATACCAGACATGACCCCCTGTTTTGATAAGAAGTTGGACCATATTTGGGGTGGTTGGTCCAAAATAGAGGTCACTCAGGTTCCAGGTTTCTATACAAATGCAACACATACATATATATATATATATGCTACCCCCCCTAAATGTCTACCTTTTTATATAATTAAATTCTATTTTGATTACCAATTTAGTTTTGATTAATTCAATTTTGATTTGAACCCGATTCTAGTTCAATGCAAATATATATGTAATTCAATACAAATAGAATTCTCATTTAATTATGACTTTAGTCTAGAAGAGGGTTTTGCAGGGGGTGTGATTTCAAGAAAACAACCTTTAAGACACCGAACCACATGAGTGACATTCTGAATGACCTAATTTAAATCTACTGTAATTACATGTTAATTCTATTCCAGTTATCATTCAATTCAATTTTGATGTCGAGTAACTTCCATAAATCGAATGCAAAATTTTTTTAGTTAATGGTTATGTTCTTTCAATTTAATTTCTATGCAGTTTATGTTTAAATCTAATATAATTCAATTTTTTGTAATCTAGTTATGTCTTTTATGCACCCCCAGCAAAGCCCTCTCTCTAGAAAAAAAATCAGAGTTAAATGAGAATTCAATGTGCATTGAATTTTAAATACATTGGCATTGAACTAGAATCGAATTAAAATTAGATTAGAATGAAGCAAAACAAAATTGAAATAAACATAGATAACATAGATTAAAATAGAATTGAACACCACTCAAAATTGAATTGTATAAGATGTAAACTAGCTGAAGCAAAATTTTAATTGCAAATACATTGACATGTACACACCACTAAAACTAGAATAGACATAACTATTTTAACTAAACTAAGATTTAATCTAAGTTTCATCGTTTCAAAGAGAATAGGGTTAGAATTAAGATAGAATTGAAATAGAATTGCTTGAGCTAGATTAGTGTGTTTTTGGAAGGTTTATTGTACTAGAACGCTGCCAACAACAAAAAATATACGTGTTTGTTTTGAGTATTTGATGTTTTGTTTTACCATTGCAAACGTTTGCGTTCGGGAAGTTTATGAATGCTCCTTCCACACTGTACTCAGCACAAAATCCAGAAATAGCGTTTGCAACCATTTGCAAACGTTTGCAAACGAGAGGGGATTCAAGATTCAAGATTTAAGATTCAAAAAAAGTTTTTGAATCCAAGATTCCAAACTACTGGATTCAAGTTTTGAATCCAGGATTCAAGAACTTATTTTTGAATCTTGCATCTTGAATCTTAAATCTTGAATCGTAAATCTTGAATCTTGATCCCCTCTCGTTTGCAAACGTTTGCAAACGCTATTTCTAGATTTTGTGCTGAGTACAGTGTGGAAGGAGCATTCATAAACTTCCTGAACGCAAACGTCTGCAATGGTAAACAAATACTCAAAATGGGGGATAGGTGTTTTTGAGTATTTTTATGTGTTTCCATTCATTTGTTTTTGTTTTTTGAATTGAAACGTGCTTTGTTTTTGTTGTATTTCTTTATACTCAAACATATGCATAAAACACTGTAAATACCAATCAAAACCAAAAGAGGTAGACATTTGGGGGGGGTACCATATATATAAATCTCACCACGCTCTCTGCTGCTCTTTTTCTGCCACCTGCGGTAGCAAAGTGTCCCGGCTGTCCGACCAAAGTGCTGCATAGCACACAGACAGATTGTCATGACAACTCCAAATGAATCTGAAAGCTGATATCCAAATCCTGAAGCTGCCAAAAATGAACTGAATCCATTCCTAAATTACTGCCCTGCAAGGTTGAACAACTGGGATAAGACAGACGGCGCAGCTTCGGCCAAAGGAAATATGCGAGCTTTGGCCCAACTATCAAGTTCATGGATCAACATCTGCGAACCAACTTCTTGCAAATAATATTCCAGAGTTTTAACTCGAGACCAGCGGCCGCGCCATGCGACCCAAGATAAATCTTCAGTAGCAGTGTAATAAAAAGTTGCTCCAGATCCTCGGAGCACACCTGGGGTCGCGCCCTGGGTTTTCTGTTTGTAGGGGACGCCAAGTCGCTCCATGATGCTGTTCCACTGACGGCGAAACACATGCATGGATCCAGGGAACAATTTTTCATCCAACTGCAACTTACCAAAAATAGCGAAGGCAATGGCAATGACGCTCGGGTCGTCCACCCTGCTGTGCTGACGACGAGCGAACCTAGCAGTCTTCGGGTCACGAACTCTGATATATAAAGATGTTGAATCGTAGTTAAGATCGACTGGGAAAACCAAGTCACGTCTTGTTAAAGCCATCATTTCACTGGGATGCAGCATAGCGATGAAACCTAAGAGGAAAATACCTGTCCAAGAAAACCATCCCCAAAGGGCCCCCAGACAGGCCATGGCTTTGACAACGACTAAAGGAAGCACTGCTCGGCAGCTTCCTGGCTCATGCAACTGCCATTTTTTGTCAATTTGCCATGCAACTGTCATATAAGGTCGAGAAGCTGGGTAAAGGTCCTGGCAAGCTGTGATTGCATAGACAAGAAGGTATCGAGGCAAACCAGATTCGAAAAGGTACATACCGTAAGCACGCAAAGACCAAACCAGCCCCTGCATGTCAGTGACCAACTGGTCTAAAGGGATCTCCAACTGTTCCTGGCACCAAACTTCAAAGGCCTCATAGCAGCGCTTCATCCGATCCGCTGTGGCTTTCGCGAAACCGACCGTCAAGTCCATCTGACCACGTCTCGGGCCAGGGTTCTCTTCCACATCTCCGCAAAGCAAAAGCAAAAATCGCATCCATCGAGCAGCATTCAAAGGAAAGCGGCTTGCAGCCACCACCGCATCAAAACCAGAGGTGTCATCCTTGGTCGGGGGCGCAATGGGCCGCTGACGAGACGGACCGTCACTCCGGTTGACCTGGGAAGGACAATGCAACAAACCGGGATATAACCCACTTCCGATGATATATGCGAGGGAACCACGTAAAACCCGACTAAGAGCAAAAGATGATGATCTACCTTTAGATGCAGCACCAATACTAACTCTGGAATCTAATAACGCTACGATGCGACTGTCTGGTTCGCTTTTTGCACATGCTTTGATGAACGATTTGAAAGTTCGAAGTTCGTTGACATTGATATGACCTGGCTTTTTGAACTTGTACCTAAAGGCTTCCCTAAACGGCAAACAGTCACACAATTCCGAAATCCATTCAGGGCTTTCGTGCCAAGGTCGATCCGCAAACAAAGGCTCCGTGCTTCTAGCTGGGGCCAGATCTGCCTCTGTGTATCCGACTTCGACCAGGGATCTAAGTCGCACGGATAACGGGATAACTGCAACTTTGCCAGCCACAGCGTCGCTAAGACCTGAAGCCATGCTTTGAACGAGCTTCAGGGGGTATAGGGCTGAAAAACTGGCTACTGTTTCACCTATGCGGGGAGACCTACCATAAACATGCTTAGAGGATGGCTGAAAAAATGCTGACCGCGATATCGGCATCTGCACTGGCATTCGAGAGGCAGAACCCAGGGCTTGTTGTGAAGCCATTTGGAAGCTTTCTGGAAAGGGCTTCCGAAACTGCAAAAACAAAAATGGCTAATTACGCAACCTAGGGACACCAGCACTCGGTAACAGTGCAGCAAGAACAAGCGGCTCGAGCCAGGTTGCTCCACGCTGATGAAGTGACCTGACAGCAACACGAGTGTCAGCAGAAACGCC